TTTTCATTCTGGGGGAAATTACATTGTCATCAACTTCATTCTGTCACTTCTGAAGTCACAGGTTTTGGTTGATTGCAGTCCGTTTGGAAGAATATTTGACAGATTCTACTTATCAAGTCAGTTAACAGGAAGTATTAATAGGTCAGGACCACTTCCATGAACTCTGAAAATATGAAATCAAGACATTTGGTTATTAAACTTTTTTGGGGGATTGTCGTAACACACATTGGTAATGTGATTGAGATCAAAACATACTACTACTGCTTTGAAGATCTGGATATATTTAAATGCAGGTTGTAAAACGATTGTGTTGATACCTGTGGTATTGTTACAAGGCTGGATAAGGTTGACCTTGAGTGCTGTTGTCATGTCTGTGTGAGAAATCTCAGAAAACAGAGTCAAGCAATAGCTGTTTCTCCTTTGGGGCTCTTTCTCACAGGATGTGAGAGGCTCTGCATAAGAAAAGTGACCCCATTTGCATAATGTGCTTGGGTTCATTATTAAAAAGGTGGTTGTTGGCTCTGATGCCTGTAGTGTGTTGAGAACACTCCTGCCCAATGCCTAGTGAAACAGAAGATCGGATAGCTAAATGAGAGTCTTTGGTGTCCTAGTAGCAGCTGTGGAATACATTTTGGGTTTTGACATCATTGTTATGATATGAAAAATATGATATGGTAAATATGGCATTTTTTTCTAAATGCATACCTCAATAGGTCATTCACACTCTTGCTACCTTGAAGGTAGAATATGGAGCGAGTAAAAACTGTGGTATCTGTGTATTTAGAGCAGTCTCTTGCTATGAACCTGTGACACCAGCGCTTCTCCTGGCTGATGGGTGGCTGTTCTTGCTGCTGTGTTGTCAATGTTCAGACGAAGCCTACCACGTTCACTTCTGGTGTCTAAATTAACATGTTCGGTGACTGAAAAGCAACACTTGATCTGAATAGTATTCAATCCCTCTCTCATTAGGGTCTTTGTTTTTCCTTCATTTTCTTCCCCATCATTTAATCAGATTGTAGCAGGAAAATAACTATTGTCTACCCAGCATTTGCAGATTAAGAACTATATAAGGATCTTTCAACAGCCTGGTAGGTGAACATGACCATTTTGTCTTCTAAAATTTTGGGGCTATTTTAATATACTAATCTTAATTTACTAAATATATCTCTTTTTGGTCTCTAATTGCATCCAGCCAACTTCATGCCACTGTGTTGTCACTGGGATTTGCTCTACCTGATTGAGGTGCTTGGTCAGAGACCCATGAGCTGATAATGGGATCAATGAGCTTTTCTAGAATAAGTTGTTATTTCCAGTTCTGTTCGTGGGGCTGAAAAATGCTGCTTCAAGCCTTTGGGCTTCTGCAAATTTGGAGTTAATTTACAAGAATGATGATTTAAACATTGACAAATACAGCTACTCTTGGAATATAGAACTAGTTTAATTTCAAGCTCAAACATTTTTGCACTGTTTGGTTTTGCTTTTAATTCCTTTGACCTAACCTTTCCAGAATAATCTCTCTTCCTATCTTATTTACCCAGTTTCCAATAATGACCTCACCCAAGGTTTACCACAATAGTTAGTAATTAGCTTTCTGAGATAACTGCTTAAATTCTAGAGCTACGCATTATGCCCCGTCTTTTGCTCTTTTGATGTACTATATAACATGACAGGATCTAGATGTCAGCAGGTCTAACGTTTGATTCACATTAATATAATTACCTGCAGTGCTTGGACAAACAAAACCGAAACTCTTTCATCCTCAGATCAGAGACTTTTCCCCATCTTTGAAGATAAGACTCTAGGTTGGCTTTTGAAACTGCCCACTTAAAGTGGCTTTGTCTGAGTTTACGTAACAGACTTTTTTGCAACGGTACATTTTAATCGATTTGGAGTTGCCTCAGTCACACCAAGTGTGCACAGATAATGAGCAGAATTTGAAAAATACACTCTCCAGCGAGGAGCCGTATAGTTGATCAGGTGACAGCAGTCTTGCTTGTGTCCCATGTCCTTCTCTAGCAGGAGGCCCCACTGATGGGCGTTTTGTGACGTCCAAGCCACATCTCTGATTACTAAGGTGGTTCCAGCTCTGCCTAAAACACATGTGAAAAGCTGCGGTCCCGCTGCCTCCTGTCTGCGCTGTCATTCATGCTTATCTACTATTTCCGTAGCTCCTGGTTACACCTATGCTGACTTCAGTTCACATTTTCTTGTTTCAGTGTAAAATTTGACAAGGCTGCACCTTATCACCGTTGTTCCTTTCCCTCCTCTAGAAAGCAACGATACTAACTGTCATTCATCCTGAATGAGGAAAGCTGCTGTGTTTAGAGCTTTCTGTGATAATTTAAAGCTATTGCCTTTGAATAAAATGCAGTGTACAGCAAAATTTTCTTTTTTGGGCGGGCTGGAGAGGGGAGTTGCGTTTCAGGTCCTAACTGTCGAGTGTCCTCCCCCTCTGGACAGTGACCAGCCTAGAATAGACTTTCAAGCAGATGGCACCTGTCAAATATCTGTTACAAGTTGCTCTGGAAGATGTTTAGAAACTGTGGGTGATCTTAGGGCAGTAGCCACCATCTTTTTTTCAGGCTCTTTTGTTGTTTTTGGAAAGGTTATTACATCAAGCTTCCACCAAGATGAAGATATACAGAACTGTGTTTTATGTCAATTTTTGTTGTGTGATAGTGAAATACAGAAGAGTCCTGAAGAGCAAAAAGCTTGACTGAAAGTTAGCTGATTTTGCAATGTAATAGTCATTATCACCATTTTAAATCTCTTGGCCCTTCGTATGCCTTGGGTTGCTTCTTGATGTGAAGTTGCAAAGAAGTTATGTGAACGTAATGTTTGTAAAATGCTTTGAAGATGAAAAGCTCTACAGTAGGTTTTTATTATTACCAGAGGCAAAGTGAGCAGCAGTGGCTTAATGTTGGACTGTTCATTTCCCAAGAGATGGCTTTGTTTTGAAGAGTGCACATTATCAATTGGGTTGGAGACAAAATTATCTTATTTCAATCCTGAATATAAATAAATCGGCAAACTTTCTACCTTGAGATTATTTGCATGAGATATTTGTAAAAGAGCAGAGCAGTTATGGTACTATGGCTCTGTTCTTAGCTTGCATTTAATAGAACATTTATTCAATGTATTTGGCTTCTACTATCCAAAGGTATTTTGAATCCAATCCATTCAAACATCTTTACATATATATCGAGAGAGAGCAGTATTCTTATATCTATATGTCATATAGATATATATGAGATATTTATTTGAGAAATATATATATTTGAGATATGTATTGCTTCTAGAGATAAAATCAGATTCAGCATGTAAATAAAAAAGTGGTCTGCATTCAGAAACGGTGACATTTTATTAGAGTTTGGTTCATAGACAGTTTTTCACGTGTTCAACCTACCACATATAAAAGAACTGGCTTTTTTTTAATAGTGCTTTAAATATTTCTTGAATCATTTTTATTTCCAGCCTGTATCTACATCATAAACTGATAGGTGGTTGAACAGGGACAAAAAAAAAAAAGTGAGCTGTTTGGCAATTCTCAAGCTACTACTGTTTCCTTGTGAGTTAGAGGAGAAGGGAGGGAGCTGCATCGTTCAAATGGGAATTCAACTTCAGCTTGCTGAGTGGGGGACTGCTTCAGGGACACCGATGTCCTCACGTGGTTCGTTGTCTCCCTTGCCCTTGCAGCGGGTCATCGCTTCCACCCAGCAGCCTTGTTTTGACAGAGCTGTTTTGTGGTGTCAGCACAGGGCACCTTTGGGGAGCTGGCGCTGCTGCAGCCGGGGATTTCTGAAGCAGCTATTGTCGGTGGAGGGGCCGCTGGGCCACGGCCAGGCACGAGGCACTGCATCCCTGAGGCCTTGAGCGGGCTGCCTCGCTCGGTGCAGCTGCAAAAGCTTTGGGCTCCTGCCTGACACTTGCAGAAATCGTTGTGGAATTTGCTGATTCTGCCAGACGCGAACTAAACACTTGTTCCCAAGTGGTGTGTCCCATCAGTACAGCTGTTGGTTATGAAAAACATGCAAGGGCTTTCATCCGTAATAATAAAGCTTTGTTGAAGTATTGCAAGCTCAAAATATTCTGAGTAATACTATCAAACAGTACCTCCTTGCTTAGCCTATAGGGAGCTTTATGTCCCTATGCTTCAGTTAAAACGTTCATTTATTGTTATCAGTTATGTCAGAGGTGGGGAGGGAGGGGGGCTAAATTTTCCCTCCGTACTGTCAGTAAGGATTAACTGACATTGTCGGTTAGTGCTTTCAAAATATTCTGACCTATTTACACAACAAAACTGATCAGAACAAAATAAACGGTTCTGTATTGCTGTATTGTGGCAGCTATATTTGGCAGTGGATTTTCTCATCATTTTTCCAATGTAGACAAAACTTGAATGCTACAGGAATCTTAAGCATTATAAGCAGATAATACCCTTACTGAAGAGCTTGATTCTCCTGTTGCCTTTTGGGGAAAGGGGACAGTTTGGCCGTAATTCAGTTGGAACAAATGCTTGTGAAGCAACTGACAAAAAAGTGTATGAGTAGATTTATCATTTTGCCGTGCAGGGTAATAAATAATTGCATCATTTCCAGCAAGCTGCAGTATATACCTGCGAGATGGTGGATCTCTCTCCAAGGTGTAATCTCTACAAAGAAGCATTAAATAGGGAATTGTGACAGACTGTAAGAATTGTTGGTTTCCTGCTTGGGTTTTGTTTTTTTATTTTGTAACAACCATAGTAGATGCTTGCAATTACCTCCTCATTTTTATGTGGTATCCCCTAAGGAATGAATCGAGAGAAATGTTTCATTTTAGCTATTTGGACAACCATTCCATATTTCCTGGGTCACAGACTTTTTGGTAGTTTGGAGGATAAAATTGCCTGACACTCAAGATAGGAAATATCTCTTTCTATCTTGCATCTTCAACTCAGATTCTGAGGATACTAAAATTAAGCCTTTTTAAACTTGTCTTTTTTTCCCAATTCCATTTAGTGATAGTCCTAATGCTGTCCATGAGGTGGAAAAGTGGTTACCACGACTGCACTCAGTTGTCATAGGACCTGGCTTAGGTAGAGATGAAGTTCTACTTGAGAACGCTAAGGTAATGTGTATACTGATACTGTATTCTGTGTCTTTATGTTGTATTTTATTAACCAATTTCCTATCTTTTATGTGATTACACAAATGTTTTTGATAGGGTTACTAAACAACAAATTTAATAAAATATTGCTGACTAAAATTACAGTTGTTAGTCATGGCCTTCATTATTAAACTGTAAGCATCACTCTGAATTTTAGGCACCCATATGGTTGTTTTGATTTGCTATTGTTTTGATTGTGAAAGTTGCTAATTCAGAAATAGATGTTGTCATCTCTAGATAAAGGGCTCTGTGTTTTCTTAGGTGCAAAGCACCTGTACTGTAAGAACATAAATAGGAAGTTGAGTTCCTAATTTTCAGAACCATATTTGACAACTCATATCAGGAGAGGTACCAAAGAACAGGGACTGTGTCCCCTTGCAATAAGAAATGATACTCTTAATTATAAAATGTTACAGATTTCTACTCTGGATAAAGAGGTAATCCTATTTTCTGTCAAGCCTTAGTGGAGAGCTGAAAACAGGAGCTCAGATAGTTCTGTACTCTAAATAATATGTACTTACACCATCTTCCAGATGATGTCTTATATTACTGTCAACACATCTATGTATGTTTAAAATATATCTTTCAGTCTAATGTCAGTCTAATTTTGTACAATTTTAATTTTTTTTTTCCTGAGAAGTATTACTGAATTAATAGTCGTATTAACAAGTGGAATTAATAAAATTTACAGAAATGTTGACAGTTACACAGTGAAATTGCAAAACGGGAGGCAAGAGACTGGAGACCACACTATCCAAGTAGTTTAGAATACCTTGAGAGCTATGGAGCATGGTTTTGCTAGGCTTTTGTTAGAGATTGGAGCTCTTTACTTCTTTAATTCTCCTTCTGCTTCCAAAAAATGTTTGTTTTATCATACAGAGGTGCAAAACTAATAAAGGGCATGGATTCAGAAAGAAAGAAAAAAGAAATTTATTACAGCTGATCAAGAAATCAAATTCTATTCTGAATGAATATTCTTTTTTGAAAACATTTTTTCAGAATTCTTTTTACAGAAAAAATTTTGGGCAATGATTTTTCTTTTTTTCTTTGTTTTTAAAAAATAAGTTTTTTTCTAAAGGAGAACAACTTTAAACAAAAGAAAATAAGAATTCATTTAGCATATCTATCATAAGCTTCTTTTATATCAGAATTACATCTGGGTTTTATAAATATCTGTCAATGTGCTTATCTGTATTAGAGAAGTATCTGGAAGATTCCTTGATTGTATTTTTGTTTTTTTTCATCATTGCTAAAAATAATTTTGCTTTCTTAGTGAATTACAAGCATACTTTTACTTCAGCCTGGCTGTCCTGTGTGAACTAGCTTAAAGTTAAAGAAACAAACCCAGCCAATGAAGACAAGGCGTTTGGAAGTTCCTTCATGCTGAAATCTCAGGCCACGTTCATATGAGCTGTGGATCTGACCTTATTAATTTCAAGTCACATTAAAGCTCAAGTTCTTTGTCTTCACTGTAATTATGTAAGTGTTCATTAGTTACCCAGTGTTGTTTTTTAACATGTAATTGGGGACAAGTGAACCCTAGTTGCCTGCCTGAGGAAGAGTGGTGCTTCTCTGTGTTGAGGAAAGGCTGAGTCTCCCTCTTGCTTCAGCATCGAATTTTAAGCTTTGTATCACTCTTCACCTTCAAGAAAAAAAGCAAGTGATGATAGCGTTGCTATTTTAAACTTTTATAGGAGGCTGGCTTGGTATATAATTTTCTGTTTTCCCTTTAAGCTAACCTCAGCATGCTGTCGTATGAATACAGGCCTGAGATGTAGATTAGTGTCTGCTTTCTGGTCACGGTTTCGTATCAGAGTGGCAGTGACGATGGGAGAACTTCCCCTCTTCCTCCTCTGCCCCATTAAAGTGCTGAGGCATAGTGGTCTGTCATCTCTCTGATGCTGTTCTTATGCCAGTTCTTGTCAGTATTGTGCCAGCACATTGCCAATAAATGTGCTTGTCCAAACAGTCCTGTGTTTGGGCTGCTTCTCTCTTCTGAGCATTGAGAAATTAAGATACTGATGCAGTAACCTGCAATTTCTGGTATACGGCCTATGGACAGTGTTTTATTGTGGAATAGCCCGAGTACTTGTTGACTGGATGGTGCATCTTCTCTCTCCATGCCAGAGAACACTTTGCTTCCTCAGCATCTTTACTATATTGCCTGCCTCCCTCATGCTTAATGCCTGCAGCGTGTACACTGTGGCATTTCAGCTCCTTTCAACAGTCTGATGGAAAAGAAACACCTTGTGATCAGTTTCCTTTGATTTTTTTCTTTTTTTAATTTTATTTTTATTGAGAGCGTAGTGGTACTCTTTGAATACATACTTATTGGCTTCCTGTAATTGCCTGGTTTTTGGTTGTAATTCCATTTGCAAGTCCTGTTACAAGAAGCCACTCTAAAAGTTATATCCCTCTCTCCTATGCCACTTGTGTGGGTCTGTGCCAAAACCCTGACATGCTGTTCCTCCGTTGCCTGGGTGAGGGCTGATGCTCTGTCAGAGCTTTCTAGTCACAGGTTTGCAGGAGCTGCAGCTTCAGAAAAATCTCTTAAAGAGAGCATTTGTTGTGTCCTAATAGCTGTGCAGCTGGATCCCATGCAGATGTGGCAATCGTAGTCTTGGACTGGTTAGACCCTCCAACTCTGGAGGAAATAAGCAGTCCAGGCTATTTCTCCTCAAGGGGAAGGAACAAAAACCCGTTTCTGCTTCACTTCTCAGCTCTGGAGTATGCAGGTTGAAGTGTCTCTACTCCCCATTCTACTTCAGTCTTCCAAAATGCTGTTGCCACATTGGGTGTGGAGCTTGGAGACCACAGCCAGCTTCTTTATAGGCAACACCAGGCCATCCATTCTTCCCTTTCAGTGTCCGTGATTGATTCTGGCCAGAGATGACAGTACCGTTACCTCCCCAAGTTCACCACAGTTGGTATGCAGCTGGTGGTGGTTTAGACTCGGTTGAGAAAGAGTTCAGCTGCCACACAGAAGTAAGGCCAAGGTCCCTATAACTGTTCTCTGTCAGTGCTTAGAGGCAGCATATTTCCAAAGCTATTGGCTGTTCTCCTTTTTTATACAGCAGAATATTATGTCTCTATCATATCTCCCCACCACAGCGTTCTTCATTCAGCTGTTTCAGGGATGTTTGTATTTCTGGTCCTACTCCGATCTGATTTTTCTTGTAGCCTGAGGCTTGGAAGTAGGAATTCCCACCTGTACCATCAAGAGCTGTTCCTTAGGTTTGTGAGAGAACCAAGTTCCTCTCCTGCAGGATGATGAGTGCAGCTCCTGAGAGGACTTTGGAAAGAAAATTCTATTCCTTGCATAGCCCTCTGGGAGAAGAGACGATGCTGTCTAATGCTGCAGGATGTTCTGCATTCTGCTGCTGCCCAGCAGTTAGGCAGTTACAGGCTTAGCTATGTCCTTTATCAGTTTCCAGCCTCTTGTCATCTCCTTTCTCCTATTCCTTCTGGCATGAATATGATGTTCCTGTCAAATTTTCTGCTTCTGAGTTTGGTGAATCTTTAATGAGTACATTACTGGCTTTGTGGTCAAATGGACTGATACAGAATTGTTGGTGGAATAGTAGTTACTGTCAGGATCGGGTAGAGAAAAGCATTCATCCTTATGAATAGCCCTATCCTTAACTGAAGTAGGACTTTGACATTGGAATCGTCTTTGCTTGTCACTGGGTTCCTTGCCTCTCTCCCTGAAGTGGTAGCACCGAATCCTGGACTCTGCCACTCCAGTCTTGCTGTGTTCTGTTTTGCAGCAGGAAAGTTAGATTGCTGTTTTCAGCAGAGCATGCTTGCTTCCCTCCTGTAAGAGAGGTAATGATTAATAGCAAGAATGGCTCTGTGTAATGCAGAGTACATGGTAAAATCGACTGGGTTCTCGGACTGCATACTTGTTCCTCTTGCTCAATTCTCAGTCTTTGTTTTAGCTCCAAGAAAATGTCCTGTATACCAGCCTGGGTTCTTCTTTTGGCTGAGGCCCTGCCTAGGTGCCGTTTCTGTCCATTGCTGTTGCTTTTTCTCTCCCCCCAACCCCCTCACCCTGCAAACACTACCCTCGGCCAGTCGTTTGCCCTTAAAGATCTCTGCTATCTGTTGAGATATAAATTTCAGAAATCACATTTTCCACCCCTAGTGACATCATCTTAAGGTTGCATGGAAATGTCTTGGCTGTAGTTAACATCTAGCAAAGCGTGGAAGAGGTTTGGGCCATTGTTGTGGATCACCTCCATCGAGTGTGCTCAGAGACAGCCCATTTGAAGTGTTCTCTTTCAGATGGATTCTGAGTTCCACCTCAGCTGAGGTATCAACCTTGCTGTGTTTCTTTTTGGTTAGTTGGATTAATTTCCCCCCTTCAAGCCTCATGCCTTCAGGATTTAGGCAACACTTCACAGCCTTAATAAATTGTGAGAACGGGACCAGGTGCTTCAGTACACTATCTGTACTAGTTTTCGCAAGCTCAAAAGGGTTACAGAATACAGAGCCATCTTTTGTTGTCATAGTGGTCCATTAAAGCTAAATCTGCCGCTGTGAGCCTTGAGAAGCATTTTTCTCTTGATATCTGAGCAGCCCCCCGGGTTCTGTTTGTACCAAGTATAAGACACCTGAGAAGCATCCCAGGCTAATGCTGCAGTTGATAGATGAAGTAGTATTGTCTGTGGTACCTACAACCATATATGAACATGAACAACAGGATGTGTTAACTCTTTGGAATCACTGCTCATGTCAACTCAAGTTAGCAGAAGAATTATTTACCAGAAACTTGATTCTTCAATGTGTGTCGTGCATTTGTTTCCTGCCCTGCTTATGCCCTCTGGAAGGTCCTCTGGAGGTTCTTGCTGTGGGCATTCAGCAGTTCATAGGGAACTGAAGTAGCAGCGAGAACATGCCACTTTCTGTTCTCAGCCTTCAGTTAGGAGGAGGTGAGATGGATGGGATCTTGTGCCTGTGAT